AGTGAGCTATGATTGTGCCACTACACTCAAGCCTGGGTGACAGAGTGAGACTCTGTACAAAAAAAAAAAAAGTTGTTTTAGTATCAAGACCTTGTAAACCAAAAGAATGCTAAAGGTAAATACTGACTCATTTTATATTTCCGACTTTCTTTAGAAAACAATACTAAACTGAGAGTAGAATAGCAGAGACTTAGATACTTATAAATTCAGGCTAAATATTGAAAACATTTACAATTTAGGTGTCAAAATCTTTTAAATAATGTACATATGTTCTAGTATTTCTAGTCACATGGTTTACAATTTGATCAAATTGAAATGTTTGGAATGCTTTCAAAAGTAAGATAAAATCAATCACAGTACTTTGAGAAGCTGAGGTGGGAGGATCACTTGAGTCCAGTAGTCGAAGACCACTCAGGGCAACATGGTGAGACCCTATTTCCACAAAAAAATTTTAAAAACTGGCTGGGCACTGTGGCTCACACCTGTAATCCCAGCACTTTGGGAGACCGAGGTGGGTGGATCTCTTGAGGTCAGGAGTTCGAGACTAGCCTGGCCAACATGGTAAACCCTGTTTCTACTAAAAATACAAAAATTAGCCAGGCATAGTGGCATGTGCCTGTAATCCCAGCTACTCAGGAGGCTGAGGTACGAGAATCGCTTGAACCCAGGAGATGGAGGTTGCAGTGAGCAGAGATTGCGTCACTGCACTCCAGCCTGTGCGACACAGCAAGACTCTGTATCAAAAAGAAACAAACAAACAAAAATTTTAAAAACTGGCTGGGCATGGTGCTGTTGGTGGTGTGTGTCTGTAGTTCCAGCTACTCAGGAGGCTGAGGTGGGAGGATCTCTTGGGCCCAGGGGATTGAGGCTGCAGTGAGCCATGATCATACCACAGCACTCCAGCCTGTGCAATAGAGTGAGACCCTGCCTCAAAATAATAAAATAAAATGACCATAAATACTTCTCTTCTGGATTATTCAGAGTTTTTAAAAAAGTCATACAAAGGTCTGGCACGGTGGCTCACGCCTGTAATCCCAGCATTTTGGGAGGCTGAGGTAGGTGGATCACCTGAGGTCAGGAGTTTGAGACTAGCCTGGCCAACATGGTGAAACCCTATCTCTACTAAAAATACAAAATTAGTTGGGCATGGTGGCTTGTGTCTGTTAATCCCAGCTACTCGGGAGGCTGAGGCAGGAGAATCTCTTGAACCCAGGAGGCAGAGGTTGCAGTGAGATAAGATTGTATCACTGCACTCCAGCCTGGGCAAAAAGAGCAAAACTCCATCAAAAAAAAAAAAAAAAAAAAAAAAAAAAAAAAAAAAAAGCCATACAAAAATGATCATCAGGCATTATTTCCTATATTATTTTAAGAATCTACTGTTGGAGACACTATGATAAAATTACTGCATGTAAGTTGAATCCCTTCTAGCCAGGGTAAGTGGAATGTTTCATATTAACAGAGTAGGATAAAATCTCATTTAGTTGGTATCACTGGAAAAGGAGCTATTTCATAAAAATAAATTCTCTTGGTAATCAGACCTAATCTGAATTTTAAAAATATTAGTCATTTATTATTTGATTGGCATATGGCAATTTAATAATTGTTATATTTTCCTACCTTTTAAAATAAAACATACAGGATACAATCCAACACTTTCTTCATTATTTTAGTGTCTACTTCAAAACTTTATTATCTGATAACTCTAATTCTGCAATCTTGCCATTCACTTTTGGCAATGAAAAAAAACAACCCTGCCAGTATCTCTAAATGTCACAGTACTGCAGCACAGTATCATCACTGTAGGAAAGAAAAACGTTCTGAGAGGTAAAGTAACTTGTTTAAATTATACAAGGCAATGTGGCTTCCATCACCACTACTTATGGTGGACAATGGTTCTCACACTTGAGGATGCATCAAAGCCACTGGAAGACTTATTAAAACACCATTTGCTAGGCCCCAGCCCCAGAGTTTCATATTCAGTAGGTGTGGGGTGAGGCCTAATCTGTATTTCCAAGAAGTTCCAAGTAGTGCTGATCTTCCTGTTAGGGATGACACTTTGAGAACCACTGGGCTAATCCACTGGATTTCCCTTCCTTGTCTTCTCTGTAGCAAAGGATGATGATAAAACTTCGTCCTTTTTGAAGTATGATATCAATTTTTAATAACACTCCAGTTATTTAGCCAGGTTTGGGAACAACCTCTATATACTGTGTCTCCTAGGGTTCCATCCCAAGCACTCTTGTGTACTCCTTGGCCAGTGTCATTCTCTTGCCTTTGGATTCAACAATCTAAGGAAGTAGTTTTCAAAAAAGTCTAAAGACTTCAGAGTCCTTAGACTCTAAAAGAATTAAAGGTGCCAAGAAGCTTTGGGAACATGATTCTTCAACTTCCTTCCCCATTCCCTGAATTAGCTCTTCATTCTATATTCCTTGTTTCAATCGAGAGCACCTTTTAATCAGCCTAACTGCACAAATCAGAGTCAGTCTCAATTCCTCTTTTCGTATAATCTCACCATTCAATCATTAAGTTTTGTCAAACTGACCTCATAAATAGCTCTTGAGCCTGGTAATTTCTGTCTATATCCATTGCCAGAGTGTGCCTCATTCACTTGTCTGAATTCCAAAAGCCTTCCTAATGGGTTTTTGGCTTTGACCCCTCAGATCCATTCTCCACAATGCAGTTACAGTAACCTTTCTGAAATAAAATTATAATTATTCCATTCCTATTAAAAAATCCTTTAGTGCTTCCTCCTTGCTTTCAGGATAAAATTCAAACTCCTTGGCATAACTAGAGGTTCTCCATGTTCTGGTCCATTCCTCTCTTCAGCCTCATCTCTTGACTTTATCCCCTTTTATTCCTGCACTCTACCATCACATTCCAAAATACAATATATTTGCTCGTGACTTCATGATGAAGTACAGCTCCTATTTCTCCTGGTTATCATGCCCCCTCTTTTGGGTGGCTAATTCATAATGTGGATCAAATAACACTGTAAGAAGTTCTCCCCGCTTTCTCGTCAACCCCCCCTTTTGGGTGGGTTACTTCCATTATTTTCAGAATGCCACATTCACGTATCTGTCACAGTCTTCATCTCATTATAATCACTGATTTATTTTTTAATCTATTTCTTCCTCCATCTGATACCATCTCCCTGCTACCTCCAGCAATTTTACACACAGTACATTCAAGAGGCAGAATGGTTGGTTTAGTGGATAAGGTACAGAACTGTTCTTGGGTTCAAGTCCCACCTCTGCCTCTTATTAGCCCTATGATGTTAGCCAAATAGCAAAAACCAGTTAAAACCACAATGCAGAAAGAGAGGAATTTATGCAATCACACTGTGATTTTGAACATATGGATTTACTTTTTTGGTCTGTCACTTCATTTGCACAACAGGTGTTGGAACAAATGATCTCCAAAATGCCTTTCAACCCTAAGAACTTATGGCTAGGATTACCAGTAGTATCCCGGATAAGAGATATTTTAAAGGTCTATGAGTGTCGTGCAAATATAGTATCATGAATATTTGAAACTACAGAAGTGAACTAAATTGTCAGGTTACTTAATTGCACAGATTCTTTTCAAAGTCAAATAGGATTTTTCAGATTTGGTTTGATTTCATCTAGAAAGAATTTTTTAAAATCTGCTAAGTAGCAGTAAAAATGTAACTCCCTTTTAAAAATCTGATTTCAAGAGAAACATTTTATCATGTTACTTTTCCTGAATTATCAACTCATGCAGTTTCAGTCCTATGTATTTATACAATATTCTATTTCTGAAGAGGAAGGTCTTACAAAGCATCCACATTGATTACTGTCTCTGTAACGTAAAGAACAGTAACTTTTGCTCACAGCAGCAGGAAATAATGCATTATGCTCAAGATAACTGCAAATAAGAGAACATTTATGACACTTTAAAAAAAGAAAAAGAAAGTCTGAACTTGAACAGTAACAGCTCATTCTTTTTCTGCTTTCAAAACCTCTTTCACCATTCAAGGCCTTGAGATAGGCAGCAAAGTATGCAGGGAAAATTTTTATATACTCCAGTGAAAATTGTAAAAAGGGGAAAACTATGCATGTAAATGTTATGACTGATTCCCTTGAATGCACCAACTAGATAGCTCTGAATTCTGAAATAATATTTTTATTCATAGCACATTTTATGTAATAGAGCATGTTTCTGATCCTTATAATAATCCTGTGAGATTGTCAGGGAAGACATTATCTCTACTTGACAGATGAAGAAACTGAGCTGTGTGAATATGCCAAGTCACAGAGTTTTAAAATGTCAGAGCTTTGACTACTAATATACCTTATTAATCTATATATCACCAGAATCCAATATTTTGTGGACACTTTATTAAACATGTGGCAAAGAAATTAAGCTAAATTTTCTGGTTTCTAGAGTCCAGTACTCCTTTTATTAGCAGTGTTAGTAATTCTCTTCCAATTGGTAGGATAGGTTTGTAGCTGAGTCAATTAAATTACTAACCCCAAATCAAGAATGTTACTTAACTGAGGATGGGCATGGTGGCTCACGCCTGTAATCCCAGCACTTTGGGAGGCCAAGGCAGGCAGATCACCTGAGGTCAGGAGTTTGAGACCAGTCTGGCCAATATGGTGAAACCCTATCTCTACTAAAAAATATAAAAATTAGCTGGGCATGGTGTCACGCACCTGTAATCCCAGCTACCTGGGAGGCTGAGGCAGGAGAATAACTTGAACTGGGGAGGCAGAGGTTGCAGTGACCTGAGATCGGGCCACTGCACTCCAGCCTGAGCAACAAAGCAAGACTCCATCTCAAAATAAAATAAACAAAAAAAACCAATGTTACTTAATTGAAGCAATTTAGGTAGCCAGATCTTCTGGACTGAAAACATAAGCAGAATTTTGTTAGCTACTATCTTTTCACCTACACGTTTCATAGGAATACATGTAAAATTACTTTCTTTGATAGAATAGGCAAAGAAAAATTCCTATAAACAAGTACCTATTAATTACCTGTGGTGCAAGAAGAGGTAGCCTAATATAAGCCAAAAGTTTACTTAGATCTTTCCGTCTCTGTTCCAAATCATGACGGACCCAAGTAAGAAGTGCATTCAATATTGTCTCCTCATTAGGAATGTTCATGTCATCACTTGCCAAGAGCTTTGCAATTTCGCTGGCTGGTAATAATACAAATTCCTGGTTTCTGATTACTTCCATGAAATGCTCCTAGAGGGAAGAAATAGCAGATAAACAATATTGTCCCTTCTGACCATCACAATTTACTTAGAAGAAAGTAAAAGCTTTTTGTGTTAGCTACCAAACACAATTTATATTTTAGACCTTACAATGTACTACTACTTGTTAGGAAAGAAACACAGCAGAGAAAAAAAAATTAAACTGCAATTATGTTGTTAAACATATATAAGTAGAATTAAAGTGTTATATCACTTATTACATTTAAAAAATGGACCTGGGACATTTAAGTATTGCTTCACTCAAGTTAGGAAATACTTTTGGCAATTCTTTTGAAGAAAGAGAGAAAAAATGAATTAGACACTGAGATGTATGATACTCTAACACAAGAAGTGGTTGGATTTGTAGTTTGGATTTGTAGGTGCTGAAGAATTTGGCCAGCAGTGGAGCCAAACACCTAGAGAGCTTGGTTACTTCTCTAACTAGGAAATGGCCTCCAGGGTGGCTAGATTTTCCAGAACCTTTCTAGACCACAGATGTCTTCTCAGATCCTCCCTGGAATAAGTATTGTCCTTAGGGTTATACTACAACCATACTGGTCTTCAAAGTCGTTTTAATGATATTTATAAGACCATCTAGGATTTTGGGTCTGTTTTCAAATTTTTAATCTCTTTTAAGGGTCTGTTTTTTAATTTGTTATATGTTCTAAGTGTCTGTTTTTAAATTTTTAATCTCTTCTAATATAATTTACAAAGCTCTTTTGGTCTCATAGGAAAAAGGACCAAAGGGGGGGAAAAAAGTAGTGACCTACAATGCCCTGGGATCAGGACATTAGATGACTCAGTCCTGGCCTCACGTTAGAATCAAATCCTCTATAATTGGAAATGGGAAATAAAAATGCCGTTAGGTGTGAGATGACCTTGATAGGCTATTATGCTAAATAATCAGGAGAGAAGGAAACCATACAATCTGATTTGAAAGGTTGTAAGTCTTAATGAATGGATAGTTGACATAGTTATAATATAAATGCAAATGCTAGACACATATTGTCCCTTAATGTTTTTCTCATATTTCCTGATGTATTATCGCTGTCTCAGCATGCAGAGGTTCACTAAAGAAGCTAAGGCTGTTTAAATTAGAGCTAGAGATAAGGACTATCAATAACTATCTTCTATATTAAAATGAGAATTATATTTTCCATATAGCCTGTGGTAACCCGAGTGAAGTACTGATCTAAAATATATATTAGCTTGGCATTCTTATCAGTAGAAGTTCTAAAGGGGAAAACCATTCATGAATAATTAATGAAGTTCAATTGCTTCAATTTATCACGATTTCTTCAAGGATGTCTAAATGAGTCTATTTTAAATGATGGATCATCATTTCAGAAACATATTTTAATAAAACTTCAATGCTAGAATGGCTCCAAGCAAAAGGTTCTATTGAATTGCATACTGACATTCTTTTAGTAACACATAGCAAGAGCTACAAAAATGTTGAAACTCTCAACCCAGTTATCCCATTTGTAATTTAAACCTTAATAAATAATTTGTAAGCAAAAAACAAAGCTGAATACCTAACAATACTTCTCTGTATTATTATTTACAGTGGTAAAAAATGGAAAATAGCCTACATGTTCAGTTATGGGGAGCTGTATATTAAATAAGCATTAAAAATTTCAAAGACAAAGATCACGCAGCTACATGGAAAGATACTTATGATAAAATGTTAGGTGAGACTGTGAAGAAACTGAAATAATAACATGTATTTCCAATTCCTTAAACATATAAAGTATAATCGACAGATATATACATTGGTATGACTATGCCATACTTTCAAATGGCATTAACTGGATTTCATCAGTAACAAAAGGACTATCATGTAAATATTCACTTGACAAATTATTTGTTGATATATCTATTTCAGAATAATGCCCATTCCATTGTAGTATAATTTACATTAAGTGAAAATTGAGTTTTTCAACAACTTATGAAATACTACTGAACTCAATCAAGGTTGAATACAAAGTATTTTTCAAAGGTATTAATTTGGTTTTGAAGCAGCTACTTTAGCAGATCTCAACGTTTTTTATAAGTCTTCTAGATTGAGAAAGACAATTTTAAGTTTTAAAATTAAATGTTTTTATTTGTGTCATAAATTTGAAATGACAATAAATAGTTGTAATGATACAACCAGTCTTAAGACTTTTTTAGAGGTTATATGACTTGCTCCAGGTCATGTTCAGTGGCAGGGAGAATGAGAAAACAGGTTTCCAGATTCATGGATCCTGGGGAGGACTCCTCATCCTTTACCACTTGTATTCGTGCAGGATCAGTGAACATCCCCAGTCCATGCACCATTCACTGATTGGACTCACTGGCGTGGTATTATGCTGTATATTTTAAATCCATATTAAAATACACACAACTATCATGCTACCAAACACTTGCTAACACTGTGCCCTTTCCCCCTTTGGAATAGTTTTTAAGCAAATGAAATTATGGAGGGATTTATTTAAATTGAAGATTGAATTTTGCAATACATTTTCATTTGGTTCCCATAGCAACAATTCAAATCAGACAATCTGCCTCTAAATTACTTATTGTTATTAGAATTCAATTTCATGTCTCTGTTAAAACTGAATAATGTTAAATAATGGCCTTGAGAAAAAAAATCTACCACAACTAATTGGCTATGAAAATAGCTTTAAAAACATCCAGCTAATTTAAATTTAATTTCTGTGTAAGCCTTAAAGCAGCAAGCGTGCCTCTACTGTAAACAACAGGAGTGACCTAAATGCATACAAATGTTTTCACCTGAATAAAACTCCTTCCTAGAAAAAAGATGATTATTCAAATTATAAACTGATTATGAAGAAAAAAATCCAACTTTATATTCATCTCATTCAAAAAAGTAGTTGAAATCGCAGGTGTATGGTTAAAATGAGAATCTACAAAGAAAGATAAAGACTGAGGGAAAAAAACATTTCAATGGACTTAATTTTTAAAACGTCAACATAATAGCACACTAGGGCTATATATTATTGTCCTGTTGTACAATCTCTTATTTTTCCAGTTGAGGCTCTGTGACTATCATAAACAAGAAACATTCCTGAGAAAATGATTACACCACAGGGAGGAAAACCAATCATAAAGGCTGTGGTTTTGTGAGTGCTTTTGTTCCCTCTCATAAATTTCTATTGTGTTGGATAGGAAATCTATATAATGATGATGACAACAATGGAATGAGACTCACTGACTGGATATATGACATGCCAATCAATGTTCTGACGGCTAAACTTCTATTAACTCATCTAATCCTCACACCAAGCTCAAGAAGTAGACAGAACTGATCTTCCCAATAGTTTGTAAATACCTATTCTTAAAATTTTTCCAAATCTCTATTTCTCTAATTAAAGATTCCTAAAGCACTCTCAATCTTTTCATAACCCAACTCAATGGAACGATGAAGGAGAGGGTAGGCAAAATAACATTTCCTAAATGCTGATAAAATCAGTAATATCCACAACTGTACACATGTATGTGAATGTTCACATTTTTTCTTCTCTTAGAAACTGTATTGCCCTAAACTGAAGCATTTAAAGCAACAGTTTTTAGTCATTGCTCAGGTGTGAAGAACTAACTGTTACAGTGTGGCAACATGAACATTCCTCAAAAACCCATGCACCCTCCCTTGCCTGCACCCCTCTACTGTTAAGACCATACAGGGTGGTCCTAACACTATGCTCTCAACATGACCTTATTTTCTTACTCTCCTAGGTCAACCCATTTTTTAACTTTTAAGTTCAGGGGTACATGTGAAGATTTGCTATACAGGTACACTTCTATCATGGGGGTTTGTACAGATTATTTCGTTTTATTATCCTTCAGGCTACTGAATCAGAACCTCCTCTATGATTTATTGAGCACATAATTTGCTATAATGAATAAAAACATCATTATACATGGCTGTAAATACTTTATACATAGTCAGATTTATCCTTAACAAAAAGCCTCCCATTCATCCTCTACCAATATGCTGCAACCTCTGTCACCAATTTCTATCAGTGAAATTTCTATCAGTGAATACAATCCTGAAATTCATCCATGTGCAGCAAAGTAAAATGTTTGGGGAGAGTCCTATTTTTAAAAGCAGCAAATCTAAAAATCTTAATGGAACAGGCCTAGGCCACTGTTCTGTTTCCCAGGGACTGCTTTAGGGCTTGATTCATACACCCAGGAGAAGTATTACTCAGTGCTTTCCCATTATAACTCAATGAAAATATGACACACTAGGCAATGAAACTCAATCTCAAGACATGTGGCAGAGCCATGGGAAAACAGTAACATGTAGATAAGCCTGCAACAATAAGAAATATGCATTTGGAGGATACTTTCAAAAAATACATACCATAGTATAATTGTGAGCCACTTTATGCAAATCTGTACAACCTTGGGCATCAGCAAAAGAACGAATTCCAAGACAGTTGGATGGATGAAGCTGTTTCATTAAAAACTTACAGCATGCTTCTACAACCTGTGAAAGCTGAAGAAGGCAAGCTGTAGATAACAGGCACTCAATATTATCTTCTTTTAATTCAAGGCGGCCTTAATGATAAAAAGAAATTCCATTAGCTATGGAACTACATTAACCTTATTTTATAAAATAACTGATGTTAACAGTGGTGGTTCCATGTAAGAGCTCATTACATGCATTACAGACCTACATGGTTTAAGACATCCCAAAACGAAAAAAAGGACTAAATGGAGAAAAATTATTAGCTCCTTGAGACATCTACTAAAATAAAAACTAATGGCTTATTTTCAGAATTTTTAAATGATACATTAGTTAGTAACTTACATCTACTATATACCTGTGTAACTCTCAATTTTTTTTTTTTTTTTTTTTTTTTTGAGACAGGGTCTTTTCTATTGCCCAGGCTGGAGTGCAGTGGTGTAACCAATGGCTCACTGCAGCATTGAAATCCTGGGCTCAAGCGATCATCTGTCCCGCCTCAGCTTCCCAAAGTGCTGGGGTTTACAGGTGTAAGCCACTGCATCTGGCCAACTCTCAAATTTTAAATGTAAAAATCTGACACTACATAATTAATTTAATTTTTATATTAACATTTTAAAGGGCCATTCAAAAACTTAATTATGATAACAATTTTAAAGGTTTTAATATGGAGATTTTAATTTATCACCACGTTAAATACAAAAGGATAGTGATGACAATGGCAGACTTAACTGTTAGCTATGGCATGCTTTCTAAAAACAGAAATCCGAAATCTAATAATACAACATAAATCTAAGAGGTTTTAATTTACATTTTCAGACTTGTTACCTGTATAAGCATACTGGATCAAGGACCACAATGAATTTGGTTCTACACCTTCCATTTTTATTTCTTCTTGTCTTGCTTCTCTGACATCATTAGTAAACATGGCAGCAAAATAGTCTGAGACAGAGGAGAGCACCAATCTGAGAACACATTAGGAAAAAAAAAATCAATTACCACATTCAAGTTGATGTTCATTAATAAATGCTGCTGCTTCTTTTTTTATTTGTTACTCATAGTGCATGGTACTAGGAAATGCGTTTTAAGCTTGACAAATTGCTTTATGCTCTAGTTCCTTCCTTTGAATAATAAATTACCATTACCAAATTTTCTGCTGAGGTGAATGCTTTACCAGCTCACTACTCAAATCATGCTTTATAACATCCAGAAAACAAGCTACAAGCCCATAGCATCAAATCAACTATATAAAGGAAAAAATGTAAAAGTTATTGTTTGCTTATCACTTTTGAAAATAAAGTAAGCCATTTTAAAAAAATTTAATTACAGAGTAGTGAATATATAGGAGACATTTGAAAATGGTTTTTGCTAGCAAGTTTTAAACTTTTATAATAGTCTATTATTATCTTAGTCTGCATTTTGTTAAAAATTATGTTGTAATAACACTATACAACTATATTTTTTATAATACAATTATAAAATATATTAGCTATGTCTCTAAGTTTTTGATGGTCATATATAATACATTTAAATTATAATTTTTTTTTTTTTGAGACAGAGTCTCATTCTGTCTCCTAGGCTGGAGTGCTGTGATCTCAGCTCACTGCAACCTCTGTTTCCCAGGTTCAAGCAATTCTCCTGCCTTGGCCTCTCCAGTAGCTGGGATTACAGAGATGGCCACCACGTCCAGCTAAGTTTTTTATTTTTAGTAGAGACGGAGTTTTGCCATGATGGCCAGGTTGGTCTTGAACTCCTGGCCTTAAGTGATCAGCCCGCCTGGGCCTCCCAAAGAGCTGGGATTATAGGCATGAGTCAAGGCACCCGGCCCTATTTTTGAAACAGGCATTTTTTCACTGGATAATGTCTTGAAGACATTTCCATTTCAGCACACTTAAATAGATTTTAAATAAATATTTTCATTTTTAAAAGTAATAAGGATTATGATACAGATAATCATTGGGTCCCTCTCTAATTCCATTTTCTTACCTCCCCAGGAGTGGCATTGCTGAGTCATAAGATTTGCCAAAGTAAGGTACCAATTTAGACCCCACCAGCACTGTATAAGACTAACATTTTCCCCATAATATTATCAGATGTTAAAATTTTTGGCTATCTATGTAGTGTTAAATGCCATCTCATTGTTGTTTCAATTTTCATTTATCTGATCGCTAGTGAGGTTTTTCAAATGCTTATTGGCCACCAGTTGCTTCTTCAGAAAATTGCCTATTCATTCATTCATTCATTCATTCAATGAACAAATACTGATGTGTGTCCAATAAGTACTGGGTACTGTTCTAGATACTTGAGATACATCAGGGTACAAAATAAGACAAAAGATCCCTTCCCTTGTGGAGTCTTACATTTAGAGGGTAGGGAGACAATGATCAGCAGAAGTAAATTCTATAGTATATTAAGAGGTGATAAGTGCTAAGGGGAAAAAAAGTAGGGCAAAGGCAAATGGGGAAAGGGTGGTGAGTTTAAATAGGTGGTCTCACTGGAAAGTGACATAGGAAAAGATCTGAAGGAGGTTTAGGATTTGGTCATGCAGGTAACTGGGAATAGCCTTCAGGCAGAAGAAATAGTGCAAAAATCCAAAGGCAGGAGCAGCATGCCAGGCACATGCAAGGAACTACAAGAGGTTGAGTGGCTGATGCTGACTGAGCAAGACAGAGACCAATAGGACAATACTAGAGCGATACGGCAGGCTGGATCGCATACGCCATTGCATGTACTTCATCTTTCACACCCAGTGACATGAGGAGTCAATGAAAGATTCAATCAAATAAATGACTGAATCTGTGTTCCACTTTAAAGGATCACCCAGGTAGCTATGTTAAAACAGAATGTAGGGGCAAAGAGTGGAGGCAGGGAGACCAGTTGGGAGGCTTTTGCATCAGTCATCTAAGTGAGATGTTGATGGCTCACACAAGCATGGCAGGTAAGGTAATGAGTTCAGTTTTGGAAATACAGAATTTGAGGCGCTTCTATGAAATTCAGGTTGAAACAGCTTTTCTAACAAACCCATGTTCATAACCTGGACTTTCTGTCACAGTGTATAGTAGTATCTCAATAAATGAATGCTAATTGAGTCACTGAAAACTGTAATACCAAGCCAATTCTTCCTAATGATTTTATTTCCACTTCGGAAAGTTTTTTATTTTTTTTATTTCAATAGGTTTTTGGGCAATGGGTGGTGTTTTGTTACATGAATAGTTCTTTAGTGGTAATTTCTGAGATTTTGGTGCACCCATCCCCCAAGCAGAGTACACTGTACCCAATGTGTAGTCTTTTATCCCTTACTCCCCTCCCACCCTATCCCCTAAGTCCCCAAAGTCCATTGTATCATTCTTTTTCTTGGGGGGGCGGGGGAGACAGAGTCTCACTCTGTCGCCCAGGCTGGAGTGCAGTGGCATGATCTTGGCTCACTGCATTCTCTGCCTCCCAGAATCAAGCAATACTCATAACTCAGCCTCCCAAGTGGCTGGGACTACAGGTTCACGCCACTACGCCTGTCTAGTTTTTGTATTTTTAGTAGAGATGGGGCTTTGCCATGTTGGCCAGGCTGGTCTGGAACTCCTGGCCTCAAGTGATCCACCTCAGCCTTCCAAAGTGCTAGGATTACAGGTCCTGAGCCACCATGCTCGGCCCATTGTATCATTCTTTTTTTTTTTTTTTTGAGACAAAGTCTCACTCTGTCGCCCAGGCTGGAGTGCAGTGGCATGATCTCAGTTCACTGCAACCTCCATCATCTGGGTTCAAGCAATTCTCCTGCCTCGGCCTCCTGAGTAGTTGGGATTACAGGCACCTGCCACCACGCCTGGCTAATTTTTGTATTTTTAGTAAAGATGGTGTTTCACCATCTTGATCAGGCTGGTCTTGAACTTCTGACCTCGTGATCCACCTGCCTCAGCCTCCCAAAGTGCTGGGATTACAGATGTGAGCCATCACGCCTGGCCTCACTGTATCATTCTTATGCCTTTGCATCCTCATAGCTTAGCCCCCACTTATGAGTGAGAACATATGATGTTTGGTTTTCCATTCTTGAGTTACTTCACTTAAGTCCCCAGTTCCATCCAGGTTGCTGAGAATCCCATTATTTCATTCCTTTTTATGGGTGAGTAGTATTCCATGATATATGTCCACTCTTTATCCACTCGTTGATTGATAGGCATTTGGGCTGGTTCTATATTTTTGCAATTGAAAACTGTGCTGCTATAAACCTGTGTGCAAATATCTTTTTCATAACTTCTTTTCCTCTCAATTGAAAGCTGGTATTGCTGGATCAATCGGTAGATCTACTTTTAGGTTTTTTTTTTTTTTTTTTTTTTTTTTTTTACTTTTAGTTCTTTAAGGAATCTCCACTGTTTTCTGTAGTGTTTGTACTAGTGTGCATTCCTGCCAACAGTGTAAAAGTGTTCCCTTTTCAGTAATATCTATGCCACATTGATTATTTTTTGATTTTATGACCGTGGCCATTCTTGCAAGAGTAAGGTGGTATTGCATTGTGGTTCTGATTTGCACTCCCCGATCATTAGTGACGTTAACCACGTTTTCATATGTTTGTTGGCCATTTGTGTATCTTCTTTTGAGAACTATCTATTTATGTCCTTAGCCCACTTTTTGATGGGACTGTTTTTGTTTTTGTTTCTTTTCTGATTTGAGCTTTTTGGTAGATTCTGGATATTAGTCCTTTGTTGGATGTATAGATTGTGAAGATTTTCTCACTCTCTGTGGGTTGTCTGTTAACTCACAGACTTTCTTTTGCTGTGCAGAAGTTTTTTAGTTTAATTAAGTCCCATCTATTTATCTTTGTTTTTGTTGCATTTGCTTTTGGGTTCTTGGTCATGAAGTCTTTGCCTAAGCCAATGTCTAGAAGGCTTTTCCCAATGTTATCTCACTTTGAGAATCATAGTGGTGATTAACAATGAACAACTGAATACAGAATTATAAGAAAATGAATTATTTTTTATTAAACAGTTCTTTTCCTTTTCTTACTTCAAGAAATAATATGTAATTTGTAGTAAAGGCTTTTTTTCCCTAGCACTGCTTTTCATACTTCTTGGAAATCAGCAAACAGAAATTGGGATAGATATGTCTATTTTAAAAACTCTTAAGACTTAGTGCTACTCCACTTCACCAGCTTTTCTTCTAAATCCACAAGCTTTAACTGCCATTGAGTTTACTTAAAGTATTTAATAGGTAGAATATCACACAAAAGCTTCTTATAGTAGCTGAAGTCTATACCAAACAGTACCAACTTATCTGAAACTAGTATGTTTTGTTATTGTGCTTCTGCGGCAGGACAATGACCCTTTTAGGATCACCAAACATGTAATAATTTCATATGCACTGTTTTCTTGATGGAAATTCCATGAAGATGGAAATTCCCCTTCCCCAAAACATAATAGTCAATTGAAGTAGGTTACCACAATACACATACCTAAATTACCGAGGAAATACTTAACACATACAGAAATATAGAAAACAACTACCTGTGAGCTGGAATTCTGCGATCACCAGCGACCAAAATTACATCGCACAACTGTTTATGTCTCAAATAGTTTTCCATTTTTTTAAATGTTTGTTCAGCATGATTAAGGGCTTGGAAAAATTCATCCGATGAACATGGCTCCATAGTATGACAGGATGATAATGTCTGACTACTATTGGAAGTCCTGAAAAGAAAAAAAATACACATTTTGAAATATCACTGTCACATTAAAAAGATCTTTGCTATTAAGTCCTTTGAAAGCCTTCAAATGTAATAGAAGAAATCATGCTACCTATCAATATTAATGTATAATCATTCATTTTAGTCTCTTAAAAATCAATGATGCCTTAAGTTATGATTCCTGTAAACACTGTAAGTGAATTTAAACTATTAATTGCTACACGTATTCTTTGTTGTATCTTTTTGTAAGGTCTTTTGTCTGTTAAAGCCAATGTCTCTGCTGAAAAAGAGCGAGCTATATTCATATTGATAACCGTATCTCCTAACCTTGTATTTAAGGATATAAGAGATAACTCATCTTTGAAGGCAGAAAGGCAATTAAATTATTTTGGAGATACAAATTCAAGTCAAGTTCATTAAAAAATATATTGTCATAAAAACAGTGTTATAAATAATTCTTTTGGTTCTCTGTCCAGTCCTCAAAAGCCCAGGTAATCTATAACTTATATTACAGGTTGAAAGAATTTGATAGCCTAATACAGCTGTCTAAAAAATCATTTGAAATTTCTAAATTATAATTTGAAGAGTATGAGTTCTGAGTTCTATGTTCTGTTTTCTTTCTTTCTTTCTTTCTTTTTTTTTTTTAATGGAATTTCACTCTTGTTGCCCAGAATGGAGTGCAATGGTGTGATCTCGGCTCACCGCAACCTCCACTTCCTGGGTTCAAGCAATTCTCCTGCCTCAGCCTCCTAAGTAGCTGAGATTACAAGCATGCACCACCATGCCCGGCTACTTTTGTATTTTTAGTAGAGATGGGGTTTCTCCATGTTGGTCAGGCTGGTCTTGAACTCCTGACCTCAGGAGATCTGCCTGCCTCAGCCTCCCAAAGTGCTGGGATTACAGGCATGAGCCACTGCACCCGGCCTTATGTTCCATTTTCATATGATTTACTGATAAAAACTGTGAAAAAGCGAAAAGGTTAGGACTAAGAATGAAGTCCTGAGCACACATTCCTCCTCACTCTTACCCCCAGTTCTCCTCTCCAGGATCACTTAAATCAAGTAGTTAAAGTCGGTTGGTTATGCAATTAACTGTAAAACCACTGGCTGTGCCATAACTTAGTTCTCATTTCTCATCAGATCTTCTTTTAAGGATATTATGGTTGTGATATATGCTTTGTTGAATCAAGTCCCACTATATCTTAAGATAATCTTGTTAATATAACTAATAACCTTATCAAAAAAGAAAAAGTCATCATATTTCTTACTTTTAAAGTAAAGGGAACTGAAGCCAAGGAGATTAAGTGCCTTGCCAAGAGTCAGAGTTCATTCATGGCAGAGATAGGGCTATCACAGAAACTGCTATGTGTTCACCAAAACATCCCTTTTTCCCCCTGAGAATATAGCTAAACTACATTTCCCAGCCCCTCTTGCAAATAGGTGTGTTCTTATGGAAATGAACTATTACATCACACAGTTCACCTTAAAGTGGCTAAGAACAGGTATGGCTTTTCCGTATTTTCTTTCTCTATCCATAGGTTGAAGGGAGAGGACTGAAGACTTAGAAAAAGGAAGAAGTAAAATACACAAAAGATCACTAAAGCAAGAACATTCACATTGAACTAAGATTTATCTGTTTTAGAAGTTAACAATGCCTTAACTGATAAATATTCTTTCCTAAATCCTCCTAGTCTGATGTATTTTCAATACCATACAAACATGGGCATCAGATAAATGCCCTTGGAAGATAATTGTCAGTAATGACAACAGAAGTCAAACGTATATTGTCTAGAAAGGATGTGTTGTACACTATGAATATTACTGGTGTAATGACTTGGAAAATTCAAGTCAAGTAATACTCGACTTCACATTTAAGATCGTTATTATAAAAATGGGTTGAATAGTATGTAATTACATATTGTTTATACAAATGAATGAGAATTAGAAACTATTTTAAAATTTAGGAGACAGCATAACATAAGCAAAAAAATAATAGTGGTTTTGATGAATAATAATTTGAAGATTTTGCAGTGGCTCACGCCTGTAATCCCAGCACTCTGGGAGGCTGAGGCGGGTGGATCACAAGGTCAGGAGATTGAGGCCATCCTGGCTAATATGGTGAAATCCTGTCTCTACTAAAAATACAAAAAAAAAAAAAAATTTAGCTGGGCATGGTGGTACACGCCTGTAGTCCCGCTACTTGGGGGACTGAGGCAGGAGAATCGTTTGAACCCAGGAGGTGGAGGTTACAGTGAACTGAGATCACGCCACTGTACTCCAGCCTCGGCGACAGAGCGAGACTCCATCTCAAAAAAAAAAAAAAAAAAAGAATATTTAAAATATTTTTTGATAAAGTTTTATACTGTTAAAATACTGACAAATGATTATAAGAGCATTAGTGACCTGAGGAGGGGAAAAAATTATAGCATCTAATTTTTATAAGCCATAAATTCAAGAACAAGTAAATAAATCAAGTACTTCTTTCTTAAGGCTCCTATATTTTGTATCACATTTCTTGTACTTCATATCAAATTATAAGTAATGATTAAACAAATAAATTAGTTGAATGTTTCTTGAGTGATGAACTGCCATCAACTAACACAGATGCTAATCAATGTTAAAGTTCTGAAAGAACAATGGAACTTTGTAATACTATCATCATTGTTATTATAGGCTACTTCTGATGTTGGCATATGCCCAGTTAATAATTTTCTCGTCAAGAACTTTCAGAGTATTTTGGTTCAGATGCTGAAACAAGTCAGGATAACCGGGGAGCATTTCAGTCTCAGTGTTCAAGGCCTCATACCCTGAGACTGATTCAATAGGTCTGAGGTGAGATTTGAACATCATATTTTAAAAATAATTTTATTTTCAATATTATTGACAAATAACAATTGTATATATTTATAGGGTATAATGTGAAGTTTTGATATGTGTATATGTGGTGAACTGCTAAAATCAGGGTAATTAACAAATTCATTACCTTTAATATTTATCCATTCTTTATGGTGAAAAACATGTAGAGCCCTCTCTTTTAGCTATTTAAAGCCCTCTCTTTTAGCTATTAACCATAGTCACCTTCCTGTGTTCTAGCACATGAGAACTTGTTCCTCCTAATTGTAACTTTGTGCACACTGACCCAAGTCTCTCTTTGGCACTCCCCACCCTCAGCCTCTGGTAAGCACCTCTGGTAAGACTTCCTTACTCTTTTTTCTCCTATTACGTCTTTTGTTTAGCATGTAATAGGAAAAGAGAATTAAGGAGGTATTGGTGAGCGATTAAGCCCATTTTAGGAAGTTCTAGAGCTGTGCTGTCCAATACAGTAGCCACTAGCCCCATGAGGCTCTTTTAATTTAAATAAAAATTTTTAATTCAGTTCTTTAGTTGGACTAGTCGTATTTCAAGTGTTCAACAGTCTCTCGGGGCTGGTGGCTACCAAATAGGATGGTACAGATATGGAACATTTCCATCAATGCTGAAAGTTCCATTGTGCAGTGCTGGTCTAGAGTCCTATAGACCTGGGTTCAACTCTCACTCTGTCACTCACTAGGTATAATTCTGGACAAGTTATTTAACTTCTCTAAGGCTTACTTTCTTTAACAGCACAACAGAAATAATACATAGTGCTGTCTTTTAGGGGATCCCTCAAGAGAGGATTATTAAATGATATAATGCATGCACAGCCCTAGGGCAGATTAGTACACAATCGAGGAAAGCTACTGTTAGTAGAACCCTACTTTTCAGTGGCCAATGGGAAGGCCTGTAATTATAGTCTTTTGTCTTTATATAATGTTGTTTGGATGGTTGTCTTTTTTAAAAAAATGATCCCTGGTATTATCATTTTTCATAACTAAATTTCATACTTCTTATTTAAAATGGCTTTTAGTAAACATCCTAACCCACAACACAAATATCCAGGAATAGGCCATTCCTGAAGCATTTAAAATATATTTCTCTCTGATTTCTACTTGATCTTTTACATAACAACAGAGGAAATACATCTAACATCTCTGCTTAGTTTTACTTATATGATACCACTAAGATAGTAAATCACATTTCAAAAAATTACATAAGATCATTCAAATCTTTTATATTAGACTTTCACTGTAATGAATACATTGCTGAGTATTTCTAGTCTACAGGGAAACATTTAATTTGTAGCTTATGTCTTTCTCTGCAGTAGGCAATGAATTTTAAAGTCAGAAAAATGCCTAAACATAGAAAAGAGGCAAGTATCAAATAGAAACAAGTCACTAACTATTCACAGAGCAACTACTCTGCATTGCACCAGTTAGAAACTGGGGGAATGCTAAGAAAGATATTATTCCCTAGTGAAGGGACTTGGAATTTGAAGAGTCAAGCTCCATATCTGGAAAAAGTGAATTAGCAACTCTAACCCTTGTAATTCCCCAGATTTTACATGTGCTTACATGTACATGTGCTCACACAATATTCACCATGACCAATACACCTTTTTATTATAAACTATTTAGATCCTTTTACTTTTATCGCCAGAATTTACACTAGAATTTCTTAATGGAGTAATTTTTCAAAAGAAGTTTTACAAATTAATTTATAAAAGTTATACTGTCTATGATTATGAGTAGGAAAAAAAGCTCTTTTGAAACTGTAAAGAGTCTGTTTGGCTCACTCTCTAGGGAAGTGATTTACTCCTAGTTTGTGGCATTCGGAACTCATGTTTTTGCAGAAGTGTGCTTACTATATTACGAATCTTTTGTCATCTTTTACAAATATTGAAAACTACAAGGTGCAAGGTATAGGCTAGCAGTCTCTACATTTGATACATATCCTTTTCAGTATACTTTTAAGCATGTGCCCAAATATATATTTACTAATTTATAAAAGATATAGATGCCATTGTACAATTTTTATATAATATACAGACAAAAATAGAAATTTAAAAGACAAAATGTAAACAGAAGCTTTTATATATATTTTTAACCATTACTCCAATTGATCATCTTGTGCATCTTTAATTGGAGTA